TGGTGCTTAGTTGCTGGCTGGGGCTAAACCACAACACATGGCCACTGTTGTTCCACTGTCCCAGCATTTCCAGGATTGCATGGGTGAAGGTGAAATGGCTGGAGACATCCTTGGCTCAACTCCGTTTTCCAGTAGAGGCTTCTTGTACTGTGCGGTAGCCTAGGGTAGCCAAAATATCTACATAGGGCTGGCAGATATAACACAGCCCCTCAGGGAGACCTATTCCCTTCTGGAGCAGGGGCTGGAGGCCAAGACTAGGACTAGGGAAGAGTTGGGCATCTCAGGTAGCAAGGCATGCCTGCGTTAAGGCAACTGAGTCAAGGATCCCGAGTCATCTCATTGTACAGACAGTCAGGGAGGACTCACTGATGCAGATTGCAAGCAGCTGGAGACCCCACGGTTAGCTGAGCAATAGTAGATACACAAGAACCTCTTCTAACAATGGGGCTAAGGGAGAGGAGCTTCAAGAGCAACAGACAGTCCATGCTGGCAGATGTATGAACATAATTTCCTCTTCCTTATAGACACTGGAAGGATAAGGGGGCAATACAAGAAGGAGCAAGAAAAGTAAAAACTGTGAAATAAGTAACGACCAATTTTAGCAACTTTTCCCTTCTGGCCATGAAGGAATCTCTCCATAATTCAAGGCACGGCTTCAACAGAACTGTGCCCATGCCTAGTGTCTAAGATCTTTTGCTAGAAGACAGGAGCTAGAGGCAAGAATTACCTGAGGCTGCAAAACTGCATATGGGATAAAATCTGACACGTCACTGCCCACTTTGTGGCCGAAGAGCCTCATTCTGTCACACTAAATTCAGGCTTAAAGTGTTGGGGTTGAGATTTAAAAATAACATTAAAAAAAAAAACTTAAAAAAAAAAAAATCAAAGCCCTTTTCCTCATCAGTTCCTAGTAGAAAACCTAACTGTGATGGTCTGATGCTGAACTGTTTCTTTTGTTAATTGGAATAAAGCCAAACTCTTTGAGTGCACCCCTCAAATTAACAGTTTGTAAGCACAAAGAAGCACAACCTCAAGCCTTGCACCCTCAACCCAAATTTGCATTGCCTACACTGCTTTATTACCATGATTACAGGCACATGGGAGGACTACTGAACACTATCTGCTTTCTTCCAGCCACAGACTACTTGGGTCCCCTGCATCTCAACTCTTAATGACTCCTGCAGGTCACACCCCAGGCTTGCCCATGCACTGTGCACTATAGTGTGCTGCATGCCTGGAGGCTTCTGATTTCTGATCCAGTCTCACAGCAGAAGTGCCTCACTTCTGCTTGGTTTCAGACTTTGTACATGGCACAAAGGCAGAGAATTCATCCTGGATTGTATCTAGTTGATTATTGAAAGAAAACTGCGGCTTAATGCTAAGGCTTGAGTTCCTAGTTGTATGGTAGAAGGCAGAAGTGAAGTGAGGTTCCCAAAATTGTGGGATCCCAAACTTGTAATACCGTCCAGTACAGAAAATGGCCCACCTGTCTTGGTTTAGCCCCAGCCAGCAACTAAGCACCACACAGCTGCTTGCTCACTCCCCCTGCCCCAATGGGATGGGGGAGAGAATTGGAGGAGTAAGAGTGAGAAACACTTCTGGGGTGAGATAAGAACAGTTTAATAATTGAAATAAAGTAAAATAGTAATGATAATAACAATATAATAATAATAATATACAAAGCAAGTGATGCACAATGCAATTGCTCACCACCCACTGACCGATACCCAGACAGTCCCTGAGCAGCAATTGCTGTCCCCCAGCCAACCCCCCCCAGTTTCTATACTGAGCATGACACCATATGGTATGGAATAGCCCTTTGGTCAGTTTGGGTCAGCTGTCCTGGCTGTGCCCCCTCCCAGTTTCTTGTGCCCCTGGCAGAGCATGGGAAGCTGCAAAGTCCTTGACTAGCATAAGCAGTACTTAGCAACAACTAAAACCATCAGTGTGTTACCAACATTCTTCTCATCCTAAATCCAAACCACAGCACTATGCCAGCTACTAGGAAGAAAATTAACTCTATCCCAGCCAAAACCAGGACAACACCATACCTTATTCTAACATATCAGCCTGTATCACAGACTTAATTTTTTATCTGGTATTAGATAGCATCTACCGGCAGGAAGCAGGAAAATGAAAACAGGGCAGCTTAGATCAGCAATTCCCTTGGGATAACATTAATTTATTTCTATTGAGGAGGCATAGACCACTCAGAGGGATAGGCATACCTGAACAGGGTTAATCAGGAGCACAGTGTCTTACAACAAACCAGATCATTCCCTCTTGTGCTTGATGTTAAACAAACATATGATAATGACAGTTCCTTGAAGAGCCCACACTCCTAATTTACATAGCATGGAGAGATGATCACTTCAGGATTGCCCTTTAGCTCCTGAATTCGGGCATGCTCAATAACAAAATTACCTGCAACTGAGGAAATTCTGACAGCACAGCAGGTATTTTCTCCTCCACTGCTAAAATGGCTTCAATTAGCTGAACATCTGCCCAGCTGAATTTGTTGCCCACGAGAAACTCTTGACCATGTTGTTTCAAAACCTGTAGAATACAAGAGAATGTGGGCTGCAGATGAGAACTGAGCATAGGATGCCTGGCAGCTAAGCCTCACAGCACAGCTGTAGAGCTGAACAGCGATTGTATCTGAAATTTCAGGGTGGAGTTTTCAGCTGGAAGCTGTGAGCCTAAATCACTTCATTATTGTTGGGAAAAAAATCTGAACTCTTGTAGTACACAGACTACAAACTTTGGTCACTCACTAATGATGAATTATGATAGTCACTGGGAACAGGGACAAAACCACACACTGCAGTAGACTAGTAACAGTCATAGAATTAGAAACAGGGATGATGGAGGAACTAAAAAGTAACTTGGAGAATGTATAAAATTGCCATTTGCCATTTAGGTATTTCATTTAAAGTTATGTCCAGTGTTGATACCATGAAGCAAACTTAGAAATGCAGAATTACAATAGCTAACCAAAGAAAATCCCTGCCTTTGGGAATAAGTTATTATAGTCATAAGAACTTCTAGGATGTTCAGCCTTTATTATTGTTGTCCATCAAAACTAGATGAATGTTACAGAAGTCAGAAAAGTTGCCAGATGCCTGAGTCATATGGGTTTGGTTTGTTGTGTTTGAAAGTGGGATGTGCAGAAATCTATGACTGTTGTTTTACTAAAGTACTTCTACTATCTCTACCTGATTTATTTGCAAGGGATTTTTGCACTCTTCTAATGAAAATGTTCCAACAGAAAGCTGGAAAAAAGTTTTGTTGTATAGCTGAGAACATACTGCTTTGTTTGCTTCATAGATGTTCAAATACTACAGCCCTGACAACACAAGGCAACAAATAGAGAAAACATGCTGCTGTATTTCCCCTTTGAGAGAAAGCCAAGAGAGCTGACGATTTGGAACTGACCTGCACTACAAATGTTCTTATTTTGGGGAAACTTCTTGATAATTGTAAATACAAGTTTTATAGACACACCCTCACTGTCACTTACCTTTTCAAAGACTGGGAAGTACCTGTTAGTTGCCCTCTCCTTAATTGAGTCAAGATTTTTCTCCTTTGCCTCAGGTGGAGAGAAAGGAAACATCAAAATCATTTGCATCAGATCTGTTATTCCTTCCACATACATGTCAATCCTATTGGTGGGGGGAAGACAGTAGAAAAGAGCACAGAAGTTATTGCATCTGTTTTCCAATTAACTCAGGGAACTTACAGGAATTTTATATCACCATCATAGCACCAATTTTCACAGCCAAAACTAAACATAAACTAAAGGTAAATATTTTTTAAAAGGACTAAAAGCCTGTTTCTGTTCAGCAGCATTTTAGAAGTAGTGGTTAAAACCTAAGCAAAGGCTAGAGTCCTTTCTTTTTATTGTGTTAGCCTTTCTCATGCTTTTCCATTGGATTTACAGGATTGAATTTGTTATATATAATGCAGCTATCAAATAACAGATTGCTCATTAAGTGAAAGGAGGTGTTACGGTACAGGGCTCTCTCCTTCAAGTCTTTCCCATAGAGATTGTATTTCCCTGCTATGTAGCTGAGGATGGCTCTGGTCTGCACCATCTTCATCCCATCGATCTCAACCAGGGGCACTTGCTGGAACATCAGGACTCCATCTAGGGTGAAAAGTTGAGGGAAAGCTTGTTAGCTCCTCCTAGACTCCTAGCTTTACAGGAAAGTGAGAGACTGAGCACATTTCTTTTGCAGTGTAGGAGATCATTGATGTCTTGCTCTCCCTGTAAAACTCCATGCAGTAAACCAACATTGTGGGAAAGATCAAATATTGACTAATCTGCATCACAGTTTTATAGCTAGGTCACCACAGTGCAGCTGGGCCCCTTGCTTTACAGCGTTGCCAGAGCTTCACTGGCTGATGGGAGCTGGCAGCACCTCCTCCTTTGCACTTCTGCACCCTGCCTCATGCTGGCAGGAAAAGCCTGAACCAGCACTTTCAACCCAAGGGAACGGAGAATAATAAAGATCTGTGTTAAATCTGAACTTAAAAAAAAAAATCTAATTATTTTGAATGCAGATCAGTTCCCAGGCAGGGACATATACACGAGTAGAAATTATGAAAGGGGTAGTACCGCAGCAAGATTGAGCTACTGGGGTAAAGGAAGAGGTCAGGCCACTTTAAGCACCGTGAAGCTACAGAGTTAAAGGCAGGGACTGTGACAGCCGTTGCTGTTTAAATAAGTTTTACACAGTCACTCCAGGGACAAGAGTTTGAGTGTTCCCATAGATTTTCATTACAGGGCTATCCTCAGTGGCATTCCACAATTTAAGCCTATTTAGATACACCACCACAATCCCTTCCTGCCTTTGTAGTCCCATTTTCTTCTGGTGCTGGTAGAAGCATTTGTCTGAGCCTTCAGTGAGGCGGCTCTGAGTGCTAAGCTGACATAGAGATTCAGCATAGCTAAGTCAGTCTTTTCCAGACCAGTTTTCTGCTGGACTAATTCACTGTCTTTGGAGATACTCCCTCCTCCACTTACACATTAAGGGCACCCAGAGAACAATCCCGCCCTGTTAAAATCACAGCAAAACTTCAAATCTAACTAGGCAGCTGCCACTTTGCATTGCTCAAAGTTAATCATTTATTTTAATTGCTCAATTTTAATCTGTTCATTTGCATCCTTCTTTCAGGTATAAGAGTTCATTTTAACAGTCACATTTGCTTTTTTCTCCACAGAGCTATTAAAATATTTTGCTAGCCTAGAATAAGCATTCTTCACTCATTCTATATTATTAATTTACAGTTTAAATTCAAAGAATAGTTCTGTCTGCAGCAATGAATAGCCTGTTTGTTTCTTCTAAACGTTCACAGAAAGATTGTGTTTTCATGTCTTTCCAGAACACACCTCTGCAGCTTAAGGAAAAAAATATTACTTGGTATCTGTCTAGCAGAAACACAGGAGAATAGGAAAACTAAGAGCTCTGCAAGGATATTTTTCAGCAGAAAAATGCACAAAGTGAAAAATAAAATCTGACTTTCTCGCCCTTGACAAGAAGTGTGATGCAGCAAATGTGAGTGAACTGAATGCATGGTTTGTTCTTTATCTGCAGAAAAGAGGGATTTCTCTCTTATGGCCAGTAGCAGACTGCTTCTCCTTGCTTTGTGGTGAGAACCACTTCACATAGCCACTGCATAGAATATATATGCAGGATTAAAAGCGGTTTGCCAATTGTTTTGCAGATTGCATTGTGCTGTCTGAAGCACTTTAGTGTATGCTCCACATACACTAAAAACCAAACATCTAGACCTACTATTTGTCACAGACCAGCAGAGCTTCTTGATATCCAGGTAGCAGCTTGGGGAACCTGTGGCTGCACAGATTGAACCAAGATAGCTGTGTCTCAGGCCAGCACGTAAAAGGTCTGGCCAGGCTGTTGCTATGCCAGGCCGATGCTATTTAACTCTCTTGGCCTCCAAAACAGCTGTCCATCTGCAAGCTGCCTGTTGGGAACTGCCCCTGGCCCAGGCTTCATCCTGGACACTGCTGGGGCATTGCTCAGAAGATCATCAGCTGGCATGGGCCAAAGTCATGCCTGGACCGTTCTAACAATGTGGTGGCGTCTAAACACAGGATACCCTGGTGAAAAGTATGTTGGTAGGGACAGAAAAAATTACAGAGAGAGGTAACGTGGGGAATTTGTGTTCATTCCTGCCCTGCATGGAATGGCAGCATTCCAGAGGTCCCTTTATCAGGATGGCCAACTAATTTGTCTTTCTTCAAAGCACTGGATAAAAGCCCACCCTTTTCTTTGTGTTCTCACCCCCTTAAGCTCAATATATATATACGTAAAAGCCCTTGATCTTTATAAAACTTTCCTATCCTTTTGATCACCACTTAATTCTTCTCTCTGGATATGGATAAGCTTGGATGCTGTCTGGATTATTAGTCCTGTGAAGCAAATTCAGATTTGGGCTTTCAGTACCTGAGCTATCATATTTAGAGCTATAACTGGTGTCTTTACACCCACGTAATCGGATTCGCAGCCAGCTGGACCTGCAACTTTAATCCTGATCTTCTAGTTACTGCTTCTTTTTTATTTTTGTTCATTAAAGAAATTCTCACAGGAAAACTATAAACACAGCTTCTCCTTTCTGAGCAGGCAGCCAGAATGCAGCCAAGTCCTCTTCCAAGTCTCCTGGTATGTCTTATCAAGCTCAGCATGCTGTGAGGTTTCTCTTGCATGTCTTGGGCAGCCCGAAAACTGCCGTGCAGGTGCACTCTGTAGAGCTCCTCACAGTCCCACTCCTTCCCCACCCCGGCAACAAGGTCTTCTCCTTCCAGGGTGACTGCTGGGTTTCATCTGGCCAAATATGCAGGGCAGTGGCTGGGGGTATGCACTGGTGTTTGGGAACTGGTCTGACTCCCAAGGTTGACATGAAGCCTTTGTGGCTTGCTGCTTTGACCACGTCGGACTTTCTGCAGGTCTCCCTGCTGGCTCCCTGTTTTTCAGCTGGGGGAAGCTTCATGGCTCAGGCTTATCCTCCTTAGGACTGTCACTAGTGTGTTCATACAGAGCCTAGCACAAAGGAAAAGTGGCTTTCCTGGGTGTTTTGGTGCCATGCCAGCCTTTCATTTAGAGCCTTATCTCACTGAGGTTCAGAACCAACATACAGGTACATCTCTACTAGCCAACTCAGCAACAGCTCAGGCCAGCTGGCACAGACTGGCCACATTCGCTCTATTCAGCTCTCTCTGCCTATAGAGCATGGTGGTCACATCTAAATGACATCTTGGAAATGGCCCCTGGCCTGGGACAACTCCCAAATGATGCCTAAGGAACTGCTTCAGGGAGTGCTATTTGCCCTGGACCAGAAGTGTGCCAGGAGCCATGCTAACAGCTCAACAGCATAGGTAATTAACTTGCATTACATAGGAATGTTTGCTACCCCTGTTTAATGTACTACGATAAACATAGTCACAGAAGCTATGGCATTTAGCTTGAAGGAGTTGTTTGGCACTGGAAAGAACAGGTTATTCAAAACTAGTATTTCAGTATTCTAGGTGTGCACCTAGATGTTTGCACTGGATTAAATAAACTAATGTTAAACTACAAATTTAGCTAAATTAGAGGAATTTTTTTAAAGGACGAAGCCTCAGGTGTCAGATTCTTACCTTTGATTAACTTTTCATACTGCTCTCTTGTTTCCAAAAAAATTTCTTCAAACTGGAAAAGGAGAGAGACGAGAAATACAGAAGAAAAAGGTTGAAATACACCAGTGTAAGTGACTGCACATAACCATGCACAGAACAACCCAACCAAGCAAAAGATAATGAGTGGGATCTTCAGCTGTGCTCTTTGGCTGCAGGTGTCCTGAGGATCCCCCACCCACCCTCAGAGCTGGGGAGGAGCAGAAGGGCCTGGCCACTTCTGCCTCACTGCACTGATGCAGAAGTAACCTTAGTGGGGTAGAAAAAGAGTATAGACATCTGCAGGAGAAAGACAGGTTGCAGCCAGTACCAAGGGAAGCACAAAGTAAATGAACTATTTCTAGCCTAACTCCAGGGCATGCAAGTCAACAATACTCTCTTGTTTATACACATTGTAACTGCAAACTCAGCAAGACTGAGTGTCCTGGTTTCAGCTGGAATAGAGTTAATTTTCTTCCTAGTAGCTGGCATAGTGCTGTGGTTTGGATTTAGTAGGAGAAGAATGTTGATAACACACTGATGGTTTAGTTGTTGCTAAGTACTGCTTATGCCAGTCAAGGACTTTCCAGCTTCCCATGCTCTGCCAGGTGCACAAGAAACTGGGAGGGGGCACAGCCAGGAGAGTTGATCCAAACTGACCAAAGGGCTATTCTATACCATGTGACGTCATGCTCAGTATAGAAACTGGGGTGGGGTGGGGTGGGCCGGGGAGCAGTGATCGCTGCTTGGGAACTGTCTGGGTATCGGTCGGTGGGTGGTGAGCAATTGCATTGTGCATCACTTGCTTTGTATACTGTTATTATTATATTGTTACTATTATCATTACTATTTTACTTTATTTCAATTATTAAACTGTTCTTATCTCAACCCAGGAGTGTTTCTCACTCTTACTCCTCCAATTCTCTCCCCCATTCCATCGGGGCAGGGGGAGTGAGCAGCTGCGTGGTGCTTAGTTGCTGGCTGGGGCTAAATCACACTACTGAGTTAAGAGACTTTGCACAGCTGGAAAACTGAGATTTATTAAGTGCTTTTAAATAAATCCCCATTTTGATCCATTATGATTAATTACTTCAGGGGACTGATACCAGCTCTATAAAACTCCAAGCTCCATCGAGTTTGCACCCAAACTATTAACCACAGAACAGGGTAGTTACAAACATGCAGTGCCACTGGCCAAATGAATTTAGCCACCCCCTTGCAGCTGTTTATCCTCCATGTGCATGTTAAATTTTTCCTTACTGAGGCCAGCTGACAACACCAGTCTGGAACACTGTACCAAGTACCCACTAACCTCCACACCAGCTGCAGCCAACAGCCATCGTACGGGCTCCATTCGCCCCCTTCCATTACAGTAGGTAAGCCTGGGCTTCCCCGACATGCTTCTGAGCTCCTGGTTCCCTGAAAAACATTAAGCAGAAAACAGTGTCTCATAAAACTGGTGTAGGTACCATTACTTTGCAGAGAGGAGGAGCCTTTTATTCTCACTATGCCTGTTGGAATTGCACTGCACCTGGTTTAAAACATAAAAGGAGAGACGGACCAGTGACATCACACAGCCTGTGCTAGGAAAGGAAAGATGTGCAAATCTGTAAAGCCTTCCCCAGTGCTACTAGGGAGGGTTTTTTATGATTATAAGCAAACACAGACATGTTTAAACAAGTGGTACAAGTCCTGAGCTACAGGGGGAACCTTGCTGCATTTTAAGACAACTATACAAAGCCGCTGAAAATCTCACCACATCCTCAGGGAAGTTATTCACTTGTCAAAGCCAGGTCTGGAACCTGGCTGCACTGGCTTCAGGTGCTCCCAGAAGTATCCCCCAGGGCAGGGGGGACCCGGGTGCCCCGGGGACTGGCAGATTGGAGGCTGTCTGAAGCTCACTGTAACAGCACCTCTCTCTGCACCACGAGCAATAGACTGTGTGGCAGAGACAGCGCATCTGTGTTGAGTGGTTCCATACGTAGGGACAACCAGCTGGACTAGTGCTGCCACTCAAGTGTAAGTGTTTGCAAATCCAGGCCTTAATTTCTTTATGCTGAATCGCCCTAATTACTAACAAATGGGAGTAGCATTCCCCCTTCACAAAGATGTTAGTATCATACACTAATGATCGGGAGGCAAAAAGTCTTAAAGATAAGTATCCTAATCGTGTCCTAATGGCTCAGAAACCAAAGAGTAGAGTGCCTGATTTAAAAAAGTAATTTTACAGATGACCCCAGTTTTCTCATAGCTAAAAGCCAAAGTGGCTGTATTAAATCTGTCGCACTTTGCATCCACATTACGTTTCCTTTTCAAGTCAGGTTCAGTATGCTCTAGTGATGTGTTTTCCTCAAGTCACAGTGCTTTGTAAGTGTACTTAAAGTACATTTGGAACATACTGTGCGAAAACTTAATTTTAAAGAACAACTAGATGAAGAGTTCTCCCTTGAGCAATTCTGGTAAGAGCTAAGTCACGTTACTACAATAAACAGCGATATTTTGGGTAATTTAGACAGTATAAGCCAAATACACATAAAGAAAAAAATGATCACCTCCATTTTTAAAGTGCAAATAGCTGTTGCTAATTACAACGTTTTGCCTCTAAGACAGTGGTTTTATTAGTTTCTGCATGTTGTGTGACTAGCTTTTGCTATATGGCAGTGCAGCTTATCTATGTAGTTCACAACAGCTAACTAGTGCCTTTTTCATTATCATACTTCTCAGATACGTTGCATCAATATCATTTCAACAGAGATTGCCCCAACTTGTAACATGCAGACACTCAGAGCAAATAAGACTTTTGCTTTAACTAAAAAAGCCAAAGACTGCAATACCAAGAATATTAAAGCTTAATCCTCTTGGAAAATTTATCTGTTGTTTGCAAAACAAAAACAGAGGGAGTGAGAAGTCTTGGGTGTCATTTTACATGAACAAGAAATTCTATATGGTATTAAATTATGCGAGAACAATAACAAATGGAGAATAAAAACCTGTCATCAGCTTCTTTTTTTGTTTGTTTTAATTGAGAATAACTCTGTCAGCCGTAAGTGGATTTTAATTGTCTTAAGCTTCTGACACAGAAAAAACCCTCGGTTTTGGTAAAGTCTCCTCAATCTTTAGATCCGCTGAATGTATTTCCATTGACTCTACAGGGACCTGACACATGTAGCTCACATACAGACAGCTATGTTTTGGTGCCCGGGTCTGGACCTGAGCCTTGCCCTGAGAGCTCAGCTTAGTTGCCCATTCCAATGTGTCTACTGACACTTGAGATTCCCTAAAGGTGGGCAGATACAACCCTTGACTTACTGGAGATGGGGCAACTTTTTCTACCTTAAATCAGTATACCTATTCATCCAGACTCTCAATTCCTTTTTGCATTTATTTGGGGAAAGGTACAGCTAACATAGACAAGGCTCCCTCAGGACTTCATACAATCCTCCACTATTTTTCTAAAATTTTAGTAAAAGATTTGCAGGATGTTGTGTTTAAAAAAAAAATTGATCCTTTTTGATACAATATGTTGATGATTTATTAGTAGCCAAGGAATCTTGTATAGCTGGTACCTGTTCCTTACTGTTTGCCTTAGCTGTAGAGGCCCAATGGCCCTCTCCACATAAGTTGCAATTTTTATAAGAGAAGTTTAGAATATCTGGGTTACATTATCCAAGAAGAGGAGCAGCATTTTTCTGAAAACCATATTAAAACCATTCAAAATCTTCCCTGACCAGTTACTAAAACCAAACACAAGTGTTTTTAGGAGCTGTAGGATTCTGCCACCCCTGGATAGCTGCTTTTGAGGAAATGGCAAAACCCCTGGTACTGATTATTGCTCAAGATGCTGGAGAACCCATTCACTGGACAACAGACAAGGTAAAGACATTCAAGCTTTTGAAGCAAGCTGCACCTGCCCTGGGACTGCCAGACTACAGTAAACCATTTACCTTGTTTGTACAATAAGGGCAAGGAATAGCCTCTGGGATGGTAACTAACATGCTGAACCCTGCGACTCTACTCCCTTCACCTGGGGGAGGAACTCCACATCATGACTGTGTAGTAACCACCCATGAAGACAAAAAGACTCAAGCAGATTTAACAGACGTGCCATTTCTAAATCCTGATTTTGTTGGCAGGTCCTTGTTATCTGAGCCGCAACTGGGTTACGGGCTATTCAGTAACTACTATGAATGAGGTAGTGGAGGCTTCACCACTCAGTCTGAAGCTGAGTGCACAAGCAGCCTTATATTACATTAACAACAGTCTATCAGCTAGACAAAGATTGTAAATACTTGTATTAGACTTGGCAGTGTTAGGTTAATGGTTGGACCGGATGATCCTAAAGGTCTTTTCCAACCTAAACGATTCTGTGATTCTATGCTGATTCTCAACATGCATTTGGGCTATGCCGTGCCACTGGGCAGTTACGGAAGCTGTGTGGGTTTATAACTTCTAGTGGAAGTAAAATATCAAATGCTCCACAAATTAATGACCTGTTAAAAGCTATACAATTGCCAGAGAAACTTGCTATTGTTCATCAGCCATCCCATACCAGTGGAAGACAAAAGAAGAGATAAGAAATAGTCTAACAGATATTGCTGCTAAAGCCACAGCATGACAGCCATACAAACCACCAGGCTTACAAGCAGTCCAGTGGTCCAACCTGCTGTTGCCTGCTCTTGAAAAGATATATTTGACTGTTCGTGCTGAAGAAATTGACTCTTGCAAAAGGTACAAGCGACCAGAGACTCCCAGGGAATATAGAGAGCAGATATCGAAAACCTTCCTGTTTTACCTAAGCAATACCTGATTCCCAGAGCAAAGATGCGTGACCATCCAGGGCATTTTGGGAGTGCTGCACCAGCCCAGACACTGCTGAAGAATTGGTTCATGCCAGGAATTTATGCTGCAGCCAAATAAGTAACCACATCTTGCATGCACTAGCTTTAGCCTTAATTAATATTTAGCAAAGACCTCAACACAAAATTTGTCTGTGTACAAATGTTTTTACTGCCTTTGTCTAAACTCCATATTTCCATCCTATTTCCTAGTGAGCCTTAATGACATGCTTGTCCCAAATTTCTCTGAGGATGCTTCTCAGCCATGTAAGAACCATTTAAGAGGGGACAAGCTTTCAGAAACAGCTTTATCTGCACTCAGTGTGAAGTGCCCTTTAGCCCAGGAGCTGGGAGCAGAGTCCAGCCTACCAAATGTGCCAGCTTTCCTGCTCAAACCCAGAAGAAACCGCCACAGCGCTGGAGGCTTGCACCGTGTTCTCCCGCTCACCTTTGCTTTCCCACACTTTGTCCCCTCATTAGTTTCACAGCTGCCTTGCTCAGCTCTGAACTGATTAATTTCCTGGTTAAAAAATGGCTTTCTCTTCCTTTCTCTTTCTCTCCTGCAGCCTCCAGGTGGTAACTATAGAGCCATGCTTAGCTTACCTGGCACACAAACTGCAGAGAGCAGAGAATTTACACTATCGCAGCAGACGCCCTAACAGATTTGGAAGTAGCTTCACTGTAAATAGTTGCTCAAATGCTTTAAGAAACAGGAATTTGTAAGTTAAGTACTTACCTTCTAACCTTAACTCAGCCTCCACCCAGGACAGGCAGGCTCCCCAGGGGTGTTTAAACTTTGGAGCTTGTGGGAGTTTCCAGCCATACCCAATTAGAGAGAAAATCTCCCATTGCTATTAAGCTGGCACTACCCAGCTTAAAGACGTAAGTCTCTGGAAATTGCCATCCAAGGCAGAGACTGTCTTTCTTTTTCAGTTTGCTGATTTGACTATACCGTGTAGGTAGCCTCATAGTTTCTGTGGTAGCCATCTACTCAAACTGCTCTCTTGGAATTATTGGAGCGTTTTACCCAAATACAAGGGTGAGACACTTTAAAACACTGAGAAAATTATAGATTTTTCTGGGTCATATTTAGGGTATTTAAAGACTAACCACTGAAGTTTCTAGGCTTATTTCACTATTTAAGAGTAACCCAGCTTTTTATTTGCAGTGCTTTATGGCACAGAAAAGATACACAAAGTACGGAATAACAATGCTCACTTATTTTGAAATACAGTTTGCCAGTATCAAACTTACGTAGTGATAACTTGGTGTAAAAAATAGATGAGCAGTTTATGTCACAACTCACCCTGTGTCTTAAGGCATTAGTATTAATTTTGGAAAGTGAGTGTACATGGCTAATACTCGGAGATGAAATAAACTATGATTTTCCTACCCCGTTTCCATGAAAAGTAACTGCTTCAGCTTTGCTATCTACATTTCAGGTGAAAATACTAAAACTGAAAGTGGATGTGAACAGACACAAGGATGGTATAGCAGATGGGAAATGGGATTTGGGTGCTGAAGATCAGGTTCTCACCTCTAGCATAGACCCACATGTGATGCTGGGCATCACTTTACACCCCTGCAGCAGATG